TTTATTTTGAGACATGAAATTCTGCACCCTAATCTGTCTGGTTCATTAACATCCATACAAAATGTGATTTTTATATCAACAACTGGATAGTGAAGAGCATATCTGAATTAATAAACACATACACATAGATGAGGAAAGGAAGGCAGTGGAATGGAACCAAAGAAATGCATCGCAAACTGACGGTATCCCTGTACTTTTACTTTAAATCTCACAATGTGAGGTTGGATTAAGTTTCTAATCCAGCTCTGCAGGATTCCAAGATTGCGCGGTGTTCAGGGCATATGCGATAACATTAGCTAATGTGTATTCGGTGCTTGCTGCGTGCCAGGTACGATGCTAAACACTTCACACGCATTATCACACGGAGTCTTCATGAAATACCCTTGAAATGTTATCACCCCTGTCTCACAGATGAGAAAACTGAAGACGGTGTAGTCGAATTATACCTAGAGGAGGTGTCTGAATTTGAATCCAGGTTGTCTGATGTTCCAAAGCCTTCTGACTTCTATGCCTATATGCATAACCAATGGGCACAGACAACAGTGTAGTGAAGGCAGGGGGTGGCGGGAGCAGGGAGGAGGGTGTCAATGGGGGAAGGGGGGGACTTCTGTAATACTTTCAATAATAAAAATAAATTAAAAAAAAAAATGAAGTAAGAGGTAGGGTTCAGATCCTACTTAGTTACTACCTGTGTGGCCTTAGGTCCCTTAAACTCTCTAAGCCTCAGTTTCCTCTTCTGTAAGATGAAGATAATAATAGTACTTACCTCATAGACTGGTTGTGATTTAATATTTGTAAAATGCTTAGAACAGAGTTTGGCACATATTTAGCATTAATGCTGTGCTTAATTATTGTAATAATTAAAGAGTGGTATTCTCTGATGATTGATCAACTTTCATTGACTCTTACACACAGATTTTCTATAATTTTCAGGTAACTTTTATTCTTAAAATTATATTGCAGCCCTAGCCAGTGTGGCTCAGTTGGTTGAGTGTTGTCCCGTGCACCAAAAGGTGGTGGGTTTGATTCCTGGTCAGGTCAGGACACATACCCAGGTTTCAGGTTTGATCCCTGGTCTGGGAGCGTTTGGGAGGCAACTGATCGGTCTCTCTCTCTCTCTTCTCTCTCTCCTTCTCTCTAAAATAATTTAAAGAAACAAACCAAGACTAGATTGGAAATAAAACATAGAAATAAAATTGTGAACTTTACTCCTGAAGTAAATAAACAAACAAAAAAATATTGTGAATTAGGTTACTATTTATCATGGATGAGAGATGTATGCAGATAACACTATAAAGCATAGTCATTAACCATCTACAGCATTGAGCCCTTTAAGTATTATTTCTGGGTAGTCAAAGAACCAAATATCTTCCTCCCCAACCTTCCTTTATTATTTACTCATCAACAAACATCCTCATACAGATACTATGCCTGTCTGGGCATCCAGGTGAAGAGAGCCCTGCTCCAGAGGACCATGCAATCTAGAGATGACTATACGCTCTGGTTTGGCACATAAAAGAAGGTAAAAAGTTGTGGGTTCCATAATCAGATCTGTTTAACAAGTACTTACTGAGTACCCATTAAATAACAGGCACTGGGTTAGGCATTGAGCTGTCCAGGTGAACAGGACACGATCCTTGTTCCTAAGAAGCAGCCAGTAGTGAAGACATCCTAAACAGACATTTTCCCTTCAATTTGTAAGTTATATAAGGATACAGAAGAGAGGTGTTTATACCTATCCCAAAGGTAGTGGGATGGAGGAAATTTTGACACCTAAACAAAAGTTTTGTTAAAAGTTAAGAAAAGCACGCCCGGCCGGTGTGGCTCAGTGGTTGAGTGTCGACCTATGCACGAAGAGGTCACTGGTTCGAGTCACGGTCAGGGCACATGCCCAGGTTGTGGGCCCGATCCCCCGTGGGGGGCATGCAGGAGGCAGCCAGTCGATATTTTCTCTCATCAATGTTTCTATCTCTCTCTCCCTCTCCCTTCCTCTCTCTCTCAAATCAATAAAGAAAATATATTTTAAATAGATAAATAAAAGTTAAAAAAAGCAGAAATAAAAGTGCATCAAGTCATGGTGAATGAGTACCCCAGAAATCACAGACGCCACACGTGAAGACGTAGAGACATGAAACAGTGGGATATCGCATGGAACTACATACAGCATGGAGGGGGTGTGGCTAGAGAAGTAAACAAGGCTGACAGGTTCAAAGTGTATAAAATCAACTGAAAGGGCCAGATGCCTATAAACTGCATAAGGTGTGAGCAGTTTCCTTAGAATTCTTTCCACTAAAATCTGAGTAAAAAGAGTGTCATTTCCCTTAATAAATCAAAATTATTTTTTATCCTAACCAAAAGATGAAAGGCTGTTCTTTGGATGACAGTGAATTGTCCACTTCCTGAACTCTCTTCCCCCAGCAGACACCGGGTTGGCTCTAAGGTCTAGACTGACAATGAAAATGAAAACAGGTCTGATTTTTGGCTTAAAGTGACCTGTCACCACATCCTTCTGCAACCTAAAGGTTTTTCATTTCTGGATCTAAGAACTCAGTCTAAGACCCTGTCAAATGCACTTCCTGGGGGAGCACTTTGGAGAGTTGGCCATCACTGAATTTCATGGAAGACTTAGGAATCTAGGGGATTGAACATTTTTAATTGGCTGTGGCAGCAGACCCAGGACAACTCATGAGCTTTCTGGAGAGGTAGGTGGCAATTTGATTCCTCATCAAACCAATGGTCACCGTCTTGCATCTTCATTCAGCGCACAGAGGCCTCTGCCTGCAGCAGGGCTGGCCCCCTGGATGGAGAGTGCAGGAATGACTGGATGCCGTCAAGTAGGCACAGCTTTCTGGGTCAGAAGTTGGCTGGGAAAGGGCCCTGACTGCCAAGTACCTTGCAATAATGTCAGAACCCAGCACAACCAAAAACCACCAGCCAGCCAGCCAACAAAAGCCTTAACAACAATAGCAAAATCAGAGAGCTGTGTTGCCAAAGCTGTTCTTTCTGCCCCCTACCCCTTTCTTCCAATAGAAAGAACAGCAGGAGTAGAGTTTATATTTTAAAAGACACCCCCTCCTCCTTCCTCCTTCATTTTGGTAACAAAGGGTTAACAGTCCTGCAGCATCCGGGTGTCTTTTTTGAGTTCCTTTTTCAAGGCTGTCAGTAGAAGGCTCTGAAACAACTCGGAATAGGACATTTTCCTAAATGTAAACATGTAACTTTGTGCTGAGGAGAAAGCAGGAACCCTAAAGGAAAGGAAAATCTTTTCTCTGCCCCTTTCTTCTCTCTTTCACGGTAATTAACCATACTCAAATAAAAATTAAAAGTTTGGCAGAAAAAGCTCTCTCTTTTTCTTTTTCTTTAAATAGGGCAACATGGTTCATTCCAGCTATTTAGAGCCCTCAGTGATTCATAATTCAACTGGAAATTAATAAAACACAGCCTGTTCTTGAAAAAGAAGTTTGGGTTCAGATCCCCTTGATTTGGACTATATGACTTTTTTCTTTCATTTGTGACAGTCAATTTTAAATGATGTCACTTCAAGGACATTTTCATTTCTCCCACAACATATTACACGAAACAGTTGCCTGTAATACCGGCTCATTAGCCTGCAAAATTATACTGTACTGAATGGCTTTCATTCAAAGTAGAAATGGGATTTTTAGTAGGCAATTTCTGTATTTTTATAAAGATAAAGCAATGTTTGATTGCTTCTTCCCAGCTGTTTTAGTTAGTGGTTATAAAGAGAAATTGGAAGGGGGAGGGCGAGAAAGGTAATATGGGGGAGGGTTTGTAAAGATGTGCTTAAAAAATAAAGCTCAGATTAGGAAACTAAGGCAGAACTTCACAGAGCTACTGAGCCTGCAGCTCATCTGGGCTGCAATAATTTGTCCTCTGGACAGCCGGAGGAAAGTGAGGGAGAGGGGAAGAGGGAGGAAAGCGAAAAGGCTGCTTCGCAGGCTGCAGCGGCCACCGCGAGCTGGATGACTGACGCGCTGGGAGTTGCTGGAAGGAGCAGCTCTTCAGAGGTGGGGACAGGGAGGGTGCGCCGCGGAGCGCCCGGGCGGAGGGACGCGGAGGCCACCGAGGGGTCAGCGGGGCCGCGGCGCCGGGCTGGGGGCCTCCAGGCGGCGCTGGCCGCGGGGCTCGGGCTCGGCGAGCGCGCCGGGCCACCCGCGCCTCCTGCTGTCCGCGCCTGGGGGTGGGCCCGCGCCGCCTGACGGATTGACTTGGAGATGGATCGAATTACACCATTTGCCGTGCCTCGATTTGTTTTGCTCCTGCTTCGTCCCGCCGCCGCCGCCGCCGCCGCTGCTGCTGCTGCTGACGCTGCTGCAAGGACTGGCGGTGGCGAGTTTCAGGCTTATATCCAGGGAGCCAAGACCTGAAGAGACAGAGGGATATATATGTCTGTTTTCTCTTTTTTCTTTATTTTCTTTTTCCTTGCACGTGACAAGCTTTATTTTTGCCAGCCTCCCCCCATGAGGTAAGACCCTCTTGTGAAAATATGCTAATGCTCTGGGCGCCCGGTGGGGCTCGGACCTAGATCCTCCGAGCCCGGATCGCAGCCAGTGTGCGCGTGTGTGTGCGTGGTCACCGGAGAGTTGATTTCCTTTCTAACCAGGTTTCTCCGCCTGTCGTGCAAGGGACGTGCAGAAGGCTGGAGAGGTTTGGCGGACCCGTCAAAACTGGCAGAACTGGGAGCTTGGGGGGAGGGGCAAGTGGACCTGGAGGCCCCCCTGCACTGTGCACCCCCTTGGGGGAAAAATAGCGGAAGAAGGGGGCAAGTAAAAGTTTCTTGCCAGGCAGCGCCAGCTCCGCGCTGCCCCGTACATTCTCAGGGGCAATCCAGGCTGCTACGGTGCTGGGCACAGCGTCTCCAGCCAGCAAAGGACTGAACTGAGGCCAGCGGAGCCGGCTGCAGGCTCGGCTGCCCCCTTCTGCCCGCCGGCCCCGTAGCCGGCGCTGGGACCGCCGGAATCGGGCAGCGCTGCCCGGCGCCTGGCGAAGGGGCGCAGCGCAGCGGCAGAGACCTGGCAGCTTCCAGCGCACTCGCTACCTGTCAGTGCGCCCGGTTGTTGCGCCCGGTGCCTTGGAGCGGGAGCTCGGGGGACTCGGCCACCTCCACCCTCCAGGCTTCAGCACCGGCTCCTGCCTAGAGGGCGGCCCCTGCCCACCCTCCCTCTGCCCCTGCAGACAGAGCGCTCGGCGGATGGGCTCTGGGGCCCGGAGCTGCCCGCCGCCCACCCCACCTCCCACCCGGCGCCGGGGTTTCTTCCCCGGCCACTCTCCCCCGCAACTTTCCGTGCTTTGTTCTCGGGCTGGAAATGATTTACGGAAGCGTCTTGGACAGGGTCTCCGCCAGGCGGCAAGAGCCCGGCGCTGAGATGTGTTACGTTCTCATCTACCCATCAATTATGGATGGAAACAAATAAGGAAGAGTCAATTTTGCATGAGCCCCTTCTCAGGCGGCGAGAGGCGTCCTGCGGCCGGGAGGGAGCCTCCGCTCACGTCGCCAGCCGCTGGCACAGGGATGGTGAGGAGGAAGGTAGGGAAACTTTTATTTCCAGTCTTGACAGCGATGTTTGTTCCTGGGCTACGGAGACTGATACAGTCGCCGCCTTGGGGGAACTCGGGGAAGGGGGTGGGGGGGACGCTTCCTCTGTCGTGTCTAACTCTTGGATTGAAATGAAAGGTCACAAAGGATTTAAAGGTGTGGATGAGAACGCGGTTTGAAAATTTTTCTGCTAAATCGACCCTCGCAACCAGTGCTGTCAGGTGATTTTTAAATCCTGAACTTGGGAAAAGCTCAATGCCTTGGAGCTAACGCGGGATGAAGTAGGGGTGTTAATTACAGCATTAGAGGAAGCTTGGGGAGAGCTCCCTGTTCTGAGGTGACCAGTCAGGAACCCAAGTTCCAGCATCCCAACCCCTCACCGCTCTCAGTTGGGGGATTTCCACGCAGAAGGGACAGTGGATCATTTTTGTAGATATATAGACTTTGTAAACAGTAATTGGACCTATGTCCACCTCTACAGGCGGCTACTCTCCCATAAAAATAATGGTAATGTTTCCTGTTTCTAGGGAAAATAAGTGTCTAGGGCAATTTCCCCCAGAACTTCCAGCTAAGAATCTTAAGTCTGCAGTATTTACCCGATATTTGGGGTGATGGAGTAGATTGTTTTGTTTATTTCAAGGCTGAAGTCCTAGGGAAAGGCTTAACATTTTTCTAAATTGGATTAACCTCTGTTTCTCAGAGTAGGAGGAATACTTGTTTGGAGAATTTTTTCAAGGTTTCTTATTAGTAGAATTGAGAAATCTTATCTCAGACAGCTCAAGATGATGATTTTACTATCCTTGTCGGCAGTTGAAACAATAGATCTTAATGCTGGTTTATACATGTTGTTAAAAAATTCCTTAGCTCTCTTAGCTGTCCAACTCAGGAAATTAAGTTGTGTGTAGTCATGTTTAGTGTAGTGAGTGACAGGCATATTCTGTCAGGCTGGCAAATACTACACAAACGTTTACACTGGCTTAGATAAATAGAAATTGCCAGATAAGCTCTGAGATTTGGGCCTATATTATCATGAATTTAAACATCTGAAGATAAGTATAGCTCAGCCATTGCTGAGTCTTATTTTTCTATATTGAGTGTTTGTGTTTTGATTCAAGTCTCTAGAATGTGCCCTTCGAAAGACAGTTAAAGAAGTAACACTCAGATTTCCAAAATGTGTTGTTTAGCAGACCATTTTCCTCCACGGGCACATTTAGTTAGATTAACCACCAACTACTGCTTCTTATTGGTTCCTGCAGAATATTGCTACCTGTCCTCCTTTCTTCTGGGGGCGCTACATAGATTACCTTTTTGAGGGAACCTTTCTGGGATGCAGGACAGTGTGCCAGGAATATTGTGACTTCCCCAAAGCCAAACATCTGGTTCATTCGAGTTTGAGTCAGATCTGTGGGCATTCTGCCCTCTTCCTTGTTTTTGTTTTTTTGTTGTTGTTTTTGTTTTGTTTTGTTGTTTTGGTCATGTCTCCTCGCCTGGTTTGATAGATTTGAAAGATGGCTGTGACGCAAACCTATTAGTCCAGGGAGGGCAACTTAGAAATCCAGTGGACTTCAGTTCAGTGGCTCAGTGGCTGCTTGCTGCATGGGAGGGATCTGTCCAGTAACTGCTCTGGGTAAGTGGGCCCCTGAATCCGGCGCTGTGGTTGCTGCTGCTTGAAAGGCGCGCAGGCAAGTAGGCAGGAGTAGAGCCCTGATTCACAAAAGACGCCCATAATTTTTAAGGACTTACTGAAGCTGGGGAAGTTCTTCACTTCTTGCTGCTATATCATAATGAATCTTGGTAATTAGCTTAGTCATTGTTCTTGCATGTGAATTTCACTAAGATACAAAGAGTGAAAAATGCATGTGAAATGGGGTCATTTTTCACCCTTCTGATGCATTTTGTGCAGAGTAAAGAGCCTGGCTGAATGCCTAACCGTTATTGGTATAACCATAGGAGGTGAACTCCTCCCTTAGCATATTGCAGAATAAAATATTACTTTTTATTTCAATGAATAGACTTTAAACCTTCACCTTCTAGATTCATTTCTAGAGGAAGCAAGAGGCACTTGGGGTATGCCAACCACTCAGTATTTATTGAGCATTATCCTTTGCAAGGAGCTATGCTAGCCAATGTTCCAACACCAGGTGAGGCAGACATGTTTCTGTATGTTCCATTTAAGTAAGAATGAACAGAAATAGAGAATGGCAGCACATACCACCAGGCCAGAAATAATATGCTTTCCTTTTCCTAGAAAATTTAAACCAAGATTAATTACACCTAATATTTACAGAGGTCCAGCCTTCCTGCTTTTAACACCAATAATCCAATGTACTGTAGGTGTAAGTCATGTACTCAACGTGTCATTCGAGTGGGAGACCTCACTTTCCCATCTCACATGAATGGAGACGAAGCGCATTACAATCTACTAAAGCCCAAGTCTGAGGTTCCTGCTCATGTTGTGAAGTGCTGCCAACTTCCAGTTGGAAAAAAAAGTGTGTTTTGATTTATTCCCATGACATGCAGAGGGAATAAAAATCACGTAGTAGTGAGCCTATCATAATCCTTTTCAGTTGAGGTGGCTGTTGTCTGGCTGACTTTTCCTCTTCAGCCCCTGATGACAGTGGCTGAGCAGCTGATAACTGAAGCTGCTTCCATTCATCCCAACAGGAAAACCAGCAAACAGTCTGCTTCGAAAGGCAGCTGTGTGCGCAGCCAGAGGCGGTCAAACGAGTGGCCCACGTAGGTACCACATGAGGTGGACTTTGTTCTCAAACTTCTCTTTTCTATTAAGCTTCTGTGAACTCCCCCAAATTAGCATTTTAACAACCCTGAAGTGAACTTCTGCCATTCTCTCTACTTGGACACAGTATGTAGATCATCCATCATCCTGTCCTTGGCTACAACGGGCTGCTGGCTCCATCACCATTTGGAGCTACACAGAATCCATCCGACTGTGAACAGCACAGCTGGCTACAGCAGTTTGTTCTTCCACACCACTGGCAACATTGTCTGGCTGTGGTAACTAAAGTTAACACCCAGAACGGGAAGTTTCCATTGTTTGGCAACCTGTGCTGGGCCCCTCATCCAGCTCTGGGGGCACACCTGCGGAAAGGCTGGCTGGAACTGGTGTGTTCCAGGAAGAGGGGGCTTGTCCCAGACTTACACACCCACCGGGAAACCTCCTGAGGCTTGATACGATTAAAGCGGCACCATTAGAAGGAGCCATTCAGACACCACTCAATCCTCGACCTTCAGAATTCACTCTATTTGAAAAGAGGAAGAAAAAAATGAAGCATCCTATAGCTTGTGATCCCAAAAGGCTGAAAACAGAAAAGACCTTGTGTAGTTCTTCGGGGAACTGAACAGGTTGCAGCTTCATCCCTTTTCAGAAAGAACATGTGCTGTGCCTAAATCCGGGACACGTGTCGGGTAGTGCTCAATGCTTTCTATCACTTGTTTTGTTTGTTTACTTCTTCTTCCTCAGTAAGAGATCTGCTGCAGTAGTCAGGGCATATTAAAGCAAGAAGGACATGAATCAGGTGGATATATTTGTTAGGTTACATTGCCAACCTTAAAAAAAAAACAACTTTTATAATTAGAAGTCCTGCCCTTAGAGTTTGATGTAGGGAGGGGAGTTTGATGAGCCTCGTGTATTGGCGGGAGATAGTATTCTTGCTTCTTTTCCTAATATTTACTAATGAAATCAGCCACAAAACAGCTGGGATGATATGGTCAGGACTTAAAAAAAAAAAAAATGCTTTTCCTCGCAAGTTCTTCTGGCCGAGCTAATCATCAAATTAACAGAGAGGTTAACAGGAGAAAATCAAATTGTAATACATGTGCACGGGTAATTCACATAGGCATGAAACTTGCAGACACAGTGAGGCAATATGGGGTACAGAAGACACTTTTGGACAAAGGATAAAGGGGTAGAATGGGTATTAGATGTCAGAAGGGAGAATGGTCGATTTAGGGTCATTGAGGAAGAGGGGAACACACGTATCAGGAAAGTCCTTGCCAGGTCACCAGGAACAATGGGGCGCAGGTGGTGTCTAGCTAATAGGCCCCTGCCTGGAAGCCCTCTTATTTACCATACTTAATTCGAATTTGGCTAAGGTAAATAGCCTGAAATCTCCTTCCTGAAGCTGGGTTATCTGTCTGAGTCTCTTCGGCAGAAAAGGTTGGGGGAGGGGGAGTAGGATCAAAGGTTCTTTCTGAGTTTTTGGCTTAATATATAGCTTAAAATCAGGATCCCAAAAGGCTGCTTCAGCGTGGCAGAACTGTGGTCCCCTCTGAATGAGGAGGAGGGGAAAAGGAGGAGGAGAAACAGGCAGCCACTTACTGTTGGTCAGCTGACTAAATTCTAGGCAACATCTAAGATCTTTATCTTTCTTGTATCATGTTCCCTCCAAACAACTGCATGAGGTAGGTTCTGTTAGCATCAGTGCATTATCAGAAAAGAAGCCCAGACACCCGAGAAGTCAAGTCATTTTCCCAAGGTCACACAGCAGGAAGGTATGTGCGACTTGCAACAGGTCTGCCTTACCTGTAACCGCTGCCCTGACCTGTCTCCAGGCACAGGAGCCCTGCAGTTTTCTGAGCCCCCGGTATTTCCAACATTTGCTTTTCAATGTAAGAGTCAGAGTTTGAGAAAAATTTGCTACTGAAGGAAACGATATCTACCCCATAGGTAGGCTCTTCCACGTTAACCTTTCTCTGAACTGAGTGGTATCATTGCACTCTTCTTTCATTTTTATTCCTGTTGGCCAAATAATTATGACACGCCCTCTTTTCAAGTGTCCTAGAGCCGTCATCTCCCCCCACCGTTTTTCTCCACGTCCGGCTTTCCTGTCCAAAATCACAGTGGCAGAGGACAAATGGCAATATTCATCACTCTCCAGCACACAGCGCTTCTGCATCGGGGTGCGAGTGACATTCATTTCCCTGGTCTTGGCAGGTGAAGACCCATTATGTATCCTTGTCCCATTTCCCAG